AAAAAAACTTCACCAAACAACAACCAATAAAAAAAGCAATTAATACGTCATAGTGGTGGGGGGAGGCCGAGAATCAGCTGTAAACAACTACTTCTCTCGTAACTCTGATTGATAAAATATTTTTCACTTTACTCAAGTCTTTGGTATCAAAATTTTGTTTGAAACTGAACTTTAATTTGTTCATTTCATCTTCAGTTCTGAAAATTAATATATCATCTACGTAAATGGTGATTATAACTTCTTTTTTACTTTTAAAATTAACACATGGATCAGCAATAGATCTTTTGGAACCTTGGCTTTTGATGAAAATGTGTATTGTTTTATTCCACATCAGTCCCGACTGATGCAATCCATATATACTTTTATTCAGTTTACAAACAAATCCGTCTTCTTTTCTATAACTCAAAGCTTCAGTTGGGAATTTCTTCTTCAATATATTTTGTACACTATTGTATCCCTCTTTAATTTCCATGAATATCGTCCCTTTCAAGTCAGCAGATAAATATGCAGCAGTGATGTCCATTTGATGTATCAACCAACTCATCTTAGCAGCAATGTCAAATAGCATCCTCATAGTTTTCTTCTGAATAACTGGTGCATATGTTTGATCGAAATCAATTCCAGGTCTTTGAGTATTTCCTAGTGCAACAACTCTGGCTGTAAATTTTTCTATCCGTCCATTTTCATTTCACTCTATTTTGAAAACCCATTTTTCGTCTTGAATGTTCTAGGTTTCGTCTGTCCGGTTTACAAAATTCCATGTATTATTTCTAATGAGATTATCAAATTCTTGAACAATATCATCTTGCCAATTTAATCGGTTATTTCCAGTTAATGCCTCTGTTAGATTCAGTGGATCACGGTGCCTTTCTTCCATCGTTCTAGAATTTTTAGCTTCATTACAAAATTTTGATGTACATGCTTCTTCGTTGACTATGTATTCTGACATCCAATTAGGTTTTTTCGATATTCTGCCAGATTTAGTAGTTTTTTCTGCATTTTCTCTCTCATTTTTGTTATTTGTGTTGTCCATATTTATAGTTTGGGGCGTATTGTCAATCAAAATTCGTTCTTCTTCTACTTCAGTAATCACCTCCTGATTACTGCTACTTCTAATGAATACATAATTTTCTCCATTCGTTTCAAAATCAAAAATATTCGTCTTTATTTAAAAATTTCTCAAAATTTGACATCATATGATCGGTAGATCCACTGTCTGGTATCCAAGTAACCCAATTTGTTTTATTATTCACCAAATAAAAAAAAAATATGTTAATTTTTTTTTCCTTCGTATAGCACTGAATGCAAATTTTTGAAGTTGAAGGGTCTAACTTTTCCAACTCTTTGGAAGATATGTATGGTTTCGTTTCTTTTGCTGTAGACAAAGGACACATTTTTCCAATGTGACCTATCTCCAGACATCTATAGCACCTCAAATGTTCGTGTGAATAACTGGGTTTTGTGGTATCAGTAGTATCTCCTCTATTCCGGTTCGAGTCTGCTCTGTTGAATAGCTTTCCACGTGTAGGTTTGAAATTTTCACATTTAAAATTCATCTGTGTCTTTTGCGTAGCAAATATTTCAACTACAAGTTTTTCCTTTTTGTCCATTCAGCTTACTTTCGATTCGTCTTTCTTCTTCTATCAGCTTTTACTTCAAATTGCACATATTCAGGTCATCTTCATCGGATCTCAGATTCCTTGCAAAGTGTTCATATTGATCAGGTGAACCTAATACCATGACTCCTGCTTGAACTTTCTCGCTAAATTCAAATCCAGCATTTTTAATTTTATGATATAACCCGTTTCGTCTATTCAGGTACTGATTGATCTTCTCGTCTGACCTTTTGGTGGTATTGATAAAATCTTTGAGTAACAGTAAGTCATGCCAAGTACCAAATTTAGTACCAATGGATTTTCTTCAAAGTTTCCTATATGTCTTTAGCTGTTTTACAATGCATTATGTCATCAAGACTGTCGTTATTCACCAATAGATAAAGAACAGATTTTGCACTATGATCTTTCTTTCTGTTTTCTTCAACTCAAATTTCATTTTCGTCAAAACCATCAGGATCAACAGCTCCACAGATTTTTAACTTCCAGGATTCCTTGCGCTCTCATCGACCAATATCGATAATTCTCGGAATTCAGTTTTTCCATTTTTAAGTCGTCCATGCTAAATGTCAATTCACCTCTGCGTCTAAATTGCTTCGTCGAAATTCACAACTCTCGTCGTCGATATATTCTTTCGATTACAGTCCTGGGCCCGTAACCTGTTGAACTTTTTGTAGCAATGGTTCAACTGTTTGTATATAATTGAATACGTTCGTAATAGAAAGAGGAAAATACAGTTGCGTAATGACTTTTTATTTATCAAAATTGACTACTTCAAAACAAATATTAACATCTAAAACACGTCTATAGGGCACACTCAAAATTAAATCAACCATTTCTAACAGAATGTTTTGGATAAAATCCATGTTGCTGTTCAGTAATGAAGTGTTTTGATCGGATAATCATGTAATCGTAAATATCACTTTCAAAGATTTTGCTGAATATATGATCGGCATATTTTCTTATAAAATAAGCCGGCAGGCCGTCTGACCAACCACCTTTTTTACCATCAATAATATTAAGTTTAGTATATATTTCATTTCCAAAGAAGAGGACTAACTGAAGGATATTATTATTGAAAATTTTCGAAAAGATAACATACATTGGTACCATTATTGGCAGTTACATTATTTTGGATCATATTTTTAGGAATACCACCATCGCGCTTGTGATTTGAGGCATATCTTCAAAACGTTTTGTGGTTTAACGAAAATTATTTTTTGTGGAGGAAAATCAGGTTTTAATCAACTTTTCTTGGGAATTTTTACCTTTGCTAATCTGAAAAATATGAAAATAATAATGGAGAACTTTATAGAAGTGTAAAAAGTGCAAACTTTTTTGTGTACTCCGATAAGTTACTGCGTAAAATCAAAGTATTTTTCACAAAGAAAAATATTCTATTCATCAGTAACTTATCATATTTAACAATTTTGCCTATCAAAAAAAATTGCTAATATACTTATCCATACATACTTATCTTACAAATACAAATAAATTAAAAAAACTCAAAGATATTTGCCGTTATTCCTTTACTGATAATTTATTTCTCAACTTCTTAGACAGATGTCAAAGGAGTTTTGAAATGTGAAATTATGTCAATGTTGTTGACTGACAACTGAAACATTCGATGTAATACAAGGTGCTCTTCGATATCGGTCTTTTGTCATTTCGCCACTATCCAAATTTTCCTTCAAAATGGGTAGCCAAGTACGGCCTATTTCTAAGGAGCTGTACGAAATACATTTCTCCCCATATATGGTTAGGTTATGTTAGATACAAAGGGACCCTCCACGGCAAACCGCAATGGTTTATTGTGGCTCACACATATTCACACTCGACCAAATAAATCCAGCTTCTTAACTAAGCCGGTTAGTTTGTATGGTTAGTGGTCTTCCAGGTCAGAAGGTAAGAGTACGGCCCTGCCGAACTCTAAAACCCAATTCGGTCCCCAGAGGGGCAGGCACAAAGTATGTGCTCTGCTGTTTAATAATTTTCCAAACAGAGGCGACACACACTGTCTTCCGACAGTCCAAGTCTCTGTATATGATAATTCTTCAGATATGAGAATATACGCTGATTCTTTTAGCTTACGTCTCTTAGATAGAGGCTCATTGATAATCATTCTTGTCTTGTTCCATTCAACTCGATGTTCACCGTCTGATTCTAAAATGTGTTTTGGCAATTTAGATCCTGTCCATGGTCTATTTTTTATGTAATCTCACGTTCATTCTCACGCACTTTCAATCGAAGTTTCACCAAAATAACTTTTACCACAAAACAAGTTATCTCATAAATGCACTTTTTTGTTTTTTCTTCAGTGTTGTTTTGTTTCTGTGAGTATAGATCTCAGTGAATTTTTTGTTTTGAAAGTAGTTCTAACATCATTTCCATTTTCAATTCGTCTTATTTTTTCTGATAGTCCTGGAATGAAAAGTTAGGTGTGGTTATCTTTTATATCTTCTCAGATTCTTTCAGATATAGCATATAGTAACACTAACATTCGTTTTTTACACCTACGTCTCAAAACTCCACTTTTGTGCATTCAATTTCGGTTTATTATGCATTTCATAGTAGCCATATTGGGATAGGGTGGAGAATTCTGGTTTTTGAGGAGACTTTTAGGACAAATGATTATTTAAGATAGTACTGAAACCAATTCGTCTATATCGTTGGACAATGAAAATTCATTCCAAGGAATGTTTATCAAGTATGAATTGAGTTTCAAATAGTTCGATTTTTTAGTGTAAAATTCTGAAACTGACCTTTCCAGGGGGCTCATTCCAGGACAGGCAATAATTAGATATTTATCGAGACACGAAACTCTTCTTTTTTGCGTTCGCTGTATTTCCGGGAATTCTGAAAGGAGTGACGCATTTTTGGAATATGATGCTATAAATTTCCACTGGCTTTCTTTAACGAGACCAATCTATATCAAACAGCAATAAAAACGTTCATCACATCGGCTCGGGTGAAAAACTTTCACATCTTAAAAATCCTTGCCTGTGGTTACAAGAGCTGCTGTTGTGCATCATCATCTCGGAGTGTCCCCACTGATAAGTTGAAAACTCGGCCAGGTGCTATGTCTTCGGTTGTTTACTGTGCCATGATCAGAGCTCGTCTGCGAAATATCCCATTCTCCGCGATTTCTCGTGCTCAAACTTGAATCAAGCAAGCGATACGAATAATAACAGTAACATGCTTCATACTCGTTGTTTTAACATTCAATACGTTTTGTGACACTAATAATTTCACACTCATCTTCTATACAAAAAACAGACAAGTGTGTGAGGAAGCCAGTCGAAATAATCGTGCTGAGTGTGCCAATTTATTGCAAGATAAGATTTAATAGTCAAGAAAGGTAGAATCAGGAATTTTGATGGTCAATGGGATAAGAAAATCGTTGAAACGGAGGTTGATTGACCAACCAGTGCGTTAAGTTAACAGTGTCCTTTAAAAATCATTATTCTTCCGGGAGTATATGTACAAAATACTGGAATATCTATGCATGAGACAGACTTGTTTATGGGAATGAGGTGAGTTATTGAATAGAATAATTTCAAAGAAGTGTTGACTTTTTTCACTATAGGTAAGTTCTCATTGTGAAGTTATTTCTGATTGATGATACTTTTACGTTCAGTGTTCAATATGTGTCAAACGAAAACTTAATATACTTTTAAGTTTAGCTGTGGATAACAATAATAACAATATAATCGTTAAATTACATCTCAAAAATATTTTGGTTGCTAATTTTGAATTGAAGAAAACTCACAGAATAATTATTGCTTCTTAATTATACTTACCTACTCAAGAATTCAATATAATGTTTGGTTATTTATTAATTATTATCTTCAGGTTTGTTAATCATAAAATTCTGTACAGAATAAGGATTATTGTTTCTTTCGAGAAATCAACAATTTCATTGAAAACCACGTCAATATCTTATAATAGAAAGTGATTCCAATTTTAAGTAGGGTACCTACGTGGTAAAAATCGAGGATGAACTATTTATGATATTCTTCATCATCCTCAACCAATTCGAACTTTAATTTGTAATTTGTGACCAGTGTTAAAATATCTCTAGCAACAATGAAGAGGATACTTCAATTGATATAGTGATGGACCTGCACTGATAGAACATTTCTTTTAGTTTCATTTTAATGATTTCCGAAATATTTTAATTTTTAATACAAGCGCTTAACTCTGTTATTAGGTGAGAAACAAATCTTGAAATTGAATTGAATTCCGAATCAGTTCACCTTGACCGAATGGGCAGACATTTTACATTTATTTCTCGTCATAATGTTTGATTATTTTAATTCCACCATTTTGAATGGCGGACGCTTCAAAATGGCAATTCATAGTTTTTAGATATGGGGTATGAAATGAAAGGATTTGATAAGCGAAATATGATGGGTGAAGTGTCGTCATTTTGAATCAATCGTGACGGACCTCCTAAATACCCATATGCTATGGAAATCAAACGAAATGATTTGATAACCGCAATATGATAAGCAAAATGGCGTCATTCTACAGATGTATAATGTGATATTGAACATGTATGTGATTCAAAGTTTTGCTCAAAGCTCTTCACGCAAATAAATATAAACTGCATTTTTTCAATGTCTTCCCCCGATTTTTATTTTTGAACGGTTCAACTCAAAAAATATAAATTTAAGATAATGAAATTAATGCATGAATGCTTTATTTTGAAGTGAAATTAACAGATGAAACGCGCAAGATGGCGACTGGGCACCATGTAGGAAAAAAAATTGAATATACAGGGGGGCTTATGACCCCCCTCCCGACAAATGCTTCATAACCCTAGAATATAATGTAAATATACAAGTACAAGGCCATCATCAACTGATGGCCTTGTACTGTTAAAACATGTTTCACCTTTACAATTTTTGCATTTTAAGATGAGTAAGGAAGCCCAGATTTTTCACATCCACATCGATAAGTACACTCTTTTATGCAGGCACAATTAACCAGCTAAAGCAAGTCGTCAGGCGCCAAAATTTCCCTTTTTTTTATTGACAGAAACATTATTTCAGATTTTATCCAACCCTAATCTTCCGGGTTCAAATTATAATTACCAATCCAAAAATGAGCTTGGTAATACGTCCTGAATGAGTATAAATGTGTTGCTATTGTTGTTGAAGGTAAATTCGCTAAGTTGATCGCAGTCTTTGATTTCGCAATCATACACGAGATTGTTGATATTGTTGATGAGGTTCAAGGATCATCACGACAAGAAAATACAGAAGAAACCACAGATGATGAGCCACCGCTACTAAAACGATCTGAAAGATTACAGAAAAAAATAATAAAAATTATTGAAAAAAACTTTCAACTTTTTTAATATTTAGTCACAAAAAACAATTGTTAATTAACAAACGCATTCTTTAGCAAAGAAGAATTTTTTTAAGGAATCAGTGTTTTCTAAAAATCATGTTTTTTTCAATTACCATGATGCAAAAAAAATCGAATTGCTTATAAACAATGTATTTGTTCACAATGAAATTATTAACAATAGCAGTGAAAAATAAAAAAAAATTATCAAGTAGTTTTTAACCATGAGATATTGACACAATAAAAATGAAAAAATAATTAAGTTTTTTTTTAAATTTATAATTTTCAATTGTTAATGAAAAGTAGAAAATAACAATTATTGTATTTTGACAACGGTGATCTATTTTTTAGTTTATTGAGAATAACTTCATCAAAGGAAAAATGCCACGGTTTTAGTTTAATAATTATAGGGGTTTTTATATTAACTTTCAATTCAAAAAAAGTTATTAATTAACAAATGCACAATTAATGTTAAAATTGAGATAAAATTTTTTCGACTGCGAATTATTGTTCATTGATGTATCCCAACATCACATGAATTTTTTCATTCCTTAATATTCGCCATTTAATATGTTTGAATAATTTTTTTTGTTTTTACGCAACTTCATTGATCTTTTCACATCTTTTTTAAAATTTCCAAAATTTTGAAAAGTTTTCGAAATATTCAAACAAAACTAAAGCCCTATTTTTTTTCACTTAATTGTTTATGACTTTTGTAATTTTTTCAGTGCCTTTTCGGACCTTTCCTCAAACTTTCTAGGTGAAAATACGAATCCAATGATACCTTGGTAGTAATTTTTGAACCCGTCTGTAAAATTTCACAAAAATAAGCAAAAAAATGTACATGTCAACCAGACGCTATATTTCAATCACTAGAACTCAAAAATTGGATTATCTGAACCTGTTTACGGAAACAAATACTACAATAGCTGGTGAATGTGATAATTCTAGATAAAAAATTCGGTGTTTACCCGTTCACTGTCTAGGTACCTACTGAGAAAATTGTTACCATTAAATTTTTTTTTTTGTCAGTCAGGTCCTCTTTTGTGGACGGTGTAAGGGGTTATTTTCGAATATTTCAATTATACCAAGGAACACTATATAGTGCGCGGACGTAGTCTCCCATTTGTCTCAACTTTTGAACGGGGCAAGTTATCAGAATCGGACAAAATTTTGGTAAAATCATTTTCAGTATGAATTTGTACTAAAGCCAATAGTGTGACTTGCCGCCAATAGAGCCGATATCGTTTTTTTATGAAAAGGGTGGTCTTCTGAAATTTCGTATTATGAAACGTATTTCAATTCTTAATGACTTTCACTTTTTCAATTTTGTTAACCAGTTGCGGAGTTGTTGATGTTTGAATTAGGGACTGGGAATGAATGAATAAATAAATGATTCTTGGAAAGAGAAATGAATTAGTAACGTATTATGTAATAGAATGGATAAGTAATAATTTCAAGGCAAAAAACGATAGCATTTTGTTTCAACCTCGTTATTATTGATCTCATTGAAAAACATTCGAAGAAACCTCTAAAATGTTCTCCTTGAACTATGTGACAGTAAAACAGTCGAAATTATTTATGACATTTTGGAGATTTTCTGGGGTGATGCAAGCACAAGTTTCCCAGGATACCTAACACCAACTTTCGATTTGATCAAATCCCATGTACCAGCAGGCCATTCCCATGGACCACGCCTACCAATCCACATGCCTGGGTATGTCTGATCTAACCAATCTATTACAGGCTAAAAATGTGGGGGCGCACCATCTGGATTTTCGAGTTCATGTTGATTGTTGACCACAGTTTCTTGAATCCGTGGGTGAAGGAAGTTTTGGAGAATTTCCAGATATAAATCAATTGTCAGATTTTCCCCTAAGATATATGGGACCGAAAATATGATTTACCAATATTCCCACGGAGACATTTATTTCATTGGGTATTTGAGTATGAGCTTTTGAAAAAATATGTAAATTTATGTCTGACCATTTACTCACAAAATTGCAATCTTTCTGTCACGGTCATCTTTATTCAATTCATGTAATATTCTCAGTTCATAGGGGTTGACTTATATCTTTTGAAGTATTTTTTGACGTTGGTTGTTAAGACGTCATTCTTTCGAGCAACTGTTGTGGATTGCAGGGTTTTATTCACGAGTTATATCTGTTTCTCGCCCGAGATAGATTTTCTTGCAGCTATTCTAGCTCTGGTTACACTTCCAGTTGTTTGAACATTTTCAACCAATTTTCCGAAATATTTTCGCAGATCGGAATATCAAGAAATCTTGCATTGAACACCATTTCTGACTAATGAAAAATACGATCTGGAGATCTACGATCTGCGTAAATAAGGATTGCTTTTGTTTTTTCTTCTGAAGATCTGATGCGAACCATTTTTGAACATTTGAACGTAATGAAATGAAGTGAATTCTTAATATCAATAGTGAGAGCTGTTAAGCTAACACAGTATTCTCTATTACTAGGGTAACACGGTGTGGATTCTTATCTACGTAGTCGATCACAAAAAATCGAAAAAACACAAATGCACTTCTTATTTAATTTCGAAAAATATTCAATGACCACCTAGTATGATGTCTACACACTGAATGAAGGCTAGTCCGGTTACCCGTATAAAGTTAATAAGTAAGAATCTCTCTGACCTTCGTGCATGACGCGCATTCGAATGAAATCAATTCCGGATTCCGATAGAAGCGTTTCTTGTTTGTTCAAGTGCAGTTGGTAGGCATGATCCACAAATATTTCACGAGTGTTCATGGTTGTAATCTGAGCTAAGGTGAAGAACATTCTACCAACGCATTTCATGAATATTGAACGAAAGTCATTTTTTGTGGAAGAAATTAGAGCTTTTTATGAAAAGTTCTTTGGATTTACGCCGTAACTCATTGAATGAACTGGAGAGTTTGATCATTCTACAAGCTTATGATGTTCTCTATTACAATTCTCATATTTTTCAAATCGTGAAAGGTGAAAATATTTCATAGCTTTCATGAATTCATTACAAAAATTATCCTGATTTTTACAGGATGTTTAATAAAACATGCGGCAAAGATGAAGGGACTATTCCTTGGATTATTCTAAGGATATTTTGATAGGGCGCTTTGTTTCGAAGATACGGGTCGAAAAAAAATTTCAACAATAACAATTTTAGTAATTTTGAAATT